TCCAGCGACCCAGAGACCCAGGGTCGCTGGGTCTTTGAATTCAGCGAACCAGGGTTGCTGGGTCATTGAATCCAGCGACCCAGAGACCCAGGGTCGCTGGGTCTTTGAATCCAGCGACCCAGAGACCCAGGGTCGCTGGGTCTTTGAATCCACCGACCCAGAGTCGCTGGGTCTTTGAATCGAGCGACCCAGAGACCCAGGGTCGCTGGGTCTTTGAATCAAGCGACCCAGAGACCCAGGGTCGCTGGGTCTTTGAATCCAGCGACCCAGAGACCCAGGGTCGCTGGGTCTTTGAATTCAGCGACCCAGAGACCCAGGGTCGCTGGGTCTGTGAATCAAGCGACCCAGAGACCCAGGGTCGCTGGGTCTTTGAATCCAGCGAACCAGGGTCGCTGGGTCTTTGAATCCAGCGACCCAGAGACCCATGGTCGCTGGGTCTTTGAATCCAGCGACCCAGAGTCGCTGGGTCTTTGAATCCAGCGACCCAGAGACCCAGGGTCGCTGGGTCTTTGAATCCAGCGACCCAGAGACCCAGGGTCGCTGGGTCTTTGAATCAAGCGACCCAGAGACCCAGGGTCGCTGGGTCTTTGAATTCAGCGAACCAGGGTCGCTGGGTCTTTGAATCCAGCGACCCAGAGACCCAGGGTCGCTGGGTCTTTGAATCAAGCGACCCAGAGACCCAGGGTCGCTGGGTCTTTGAATCCACCGACCCAGAGACCCAGGGTCGCTGGGTCTTTCAATCAGCGACCCAGGGTCGCTGGGTCTTTGAATCCAGCGACCCAGAGACCCAGCGTCGCTGGGTCGCTGGGTCTTTGAATCCAGCGACCCAGAGACCCATGGTCGCTGGGTCTTTGAATTCAGCGACCCAGGGTTGCTGGGTCTTTGAATCCAGCGACCCAGAGACCCAGGGTCGCTGGGTCTTTGAATCCAGCGACCCAGAGACCCAGGGTCGCTGGGTCTGTGAATCCACCGCCCCAAAGTCGCTGGGTCTTTGAATCGAGCGACCCAGAGACCCAGGGTCGCTGGGTCTTTGAATCCAGCGACCCAGAGACCCAGGGTCGCTGGGTCTTTGAATCAAGCGACCCAGAGACACAGGGTCGCTGGGTCTTTAAATCCATCGACCCAGAGACCCAATGTCGCTGGGTCTTTGAATCCAGCAACCCAGAGACCCTGGAGACCCAGGGTCGCTGGGTCTTTGAATCAAGCGACTCAGAAACCAGAGACCCAGGGTCGCTGGGTCTTTGAATCCAGCGACCCAGAGACCCAGGGTCGCTGGGTCTTTGAATACAGCGACCCAGAGACCCAGGGTCGCTGGGTCTTTGAATCCAGCGACCCAGAGACCCAGGGTCGCTGGGTCTTTGAATCCAGCGACCCAGAGACCCAGGGTCGCTGGGTCTTTGAATCCAGCGACCCAGAGACCCAGGGTCGCTGGGTCTTTGAATCCAGCGACCCAGAGACCCAGGGTCGCTGGGTCTTTGAATCCAGCGACCCAGAGACCCAGGGTCGCTGGGTCTTTGAATCAAGCGACCCAGAGACCCAGGGTCGCTGGGTCTTTGAATCCAGCGACCCAGAGACCCAGGGTCGCTGGGTCTTTGAATCCAGCGACCCAGAGACCCAGGGTCGCTGGGTCTTTGAATCCAGCGACCCAGAGACCCAGGGTCGCTGGGTCTTTGAATCCAGCGACCCAGAGACCCAGGGTCGCTGGGTCTTTGAATCCAGCGACCCAGAGACCCAGGGTCGCTGGGTCTTTGAATCCAGCGACCCAGAGACCCAGGGTCGCTGGGTCTTTGAATCCAGCGACCCAGAGACCCAGGGTCGCTGGGTCTTTGAATCCAGCGACCCAGAGACCCAGGGTCGCTGGGTCTTTGAATCAGCGACCCAGAGACCCAGGGTCGCTGGGTCTTTGAATCCAGCGACCCAGAGACCCAGGGTCGCTGGGTCTTTGAATCCAGCGACCCAGGGTCGCTGGGTCTTTGAATCCAGCGACCCAGAGACCCAGGGTCGCTGGGTCTTTGAATCCAGCGACCCAGAGACCCAGGGTCGCTGGGTCTTTGAATCCAGCGACCCAGAGACCCAGGGTCGCTGGGTCTTTGAATCCAGCGACCCAGAGACCCAGGGTCGCTGGGTCTTTGAATCCAGCGACCCAGAGACCCAGGGTCGCTGGGTCTTTGAATCCAGCGACCCAGAGACCCAGGGTCGCTGGGTCTTTGAATCCAGCGACCCAGAGACCCAGGGTCGCTGGGTCTTTGAATCCAGCGACCCAGAGACCCAGGGTCGCTGGGTCTTTGAATCCAGCGACCCAGAGACCCAGGGTCGCTGGGTCGCTGGGTCTTTGAATCCAGCGACCCAGAGACCCAGGGTCGCTGGGTCTTTGAATCCAGCGACCCAGAGACCCAGGGTCGCTGGGTCTTTGAATCCAGCGACCCAGAGACCCAGGGTCGCTGGGTCTTTGAATCCAGCGACCCAGAGACCCAGGGTCGCTGGGTCTTTGAATCCAGCGACCCAGAGACCCAGGGTCGCTGGGTCTTTGAATCCAGCGACCCAGAGACCCAGGGTCGCTGGGTCTTTGAATCCAGCGACCCAGAGACCCAGGGTCGCTGGGTCTTTGAATCCAGCGACCCAGAGACCCAGGGTCGCTGGGTCTTTGAATCCAGCGACCCAGAGACCCAGGGTCGCTGGGTCTTTGAATCCAGCGACCCAGAGACCCAGGGTCGCTGGGTCTTTGAATCCAGCGACCCAGAGACCCAGGGTCGCTGGGTCTTTGAATCCAGCGACCCAGAGACCCAGGGTCGCTGGGTCTTTGAATCCAGCGACCCAGAGACCCAGGGTCGCTGGGTCTTTGAATCAAGCGACCCAGAGACCCAGGGTCGCTGGGTCTTTCAATCCAGCGACCCAGAGACCCAGGGTCGCTGGGTCTTTGAATCCAGCGACCCAGAGACCCAGGGTCGCTGGGTCTTTGAATCCAGCGACCCAGAGACCCAGGGTCGCTGGGTCTTTGAATCCAGCGACCCAGAGACCCAGGGTCGCTGGGTCTTTGAATCCAGCGACCCAGAGACCCAGGGTCGCTGGGTCTTTGAATCCAGCGACCCAGAGACCCAGGGTCGCTGGGTCTTTGAATCCAGCGACCCAGAGACCAGGGTCGCTGGGTCTTGAATCCAGCGACCCAGAGACCCAGGGTCGCTGGGTCTTTGAATCCAGCGACCCAGAGACCCAGGGTCGCTGGGTCTTTGAATCCAGCGACCCAGAGACCCAGGGTCGCTGGGTCTTTGAATCCAGCGACCCAGAGACCCAGGGTCGCTGGGTCTTTGAATCCAGCGACCCAGAGACCCAGGGTCGCTGGGTCTTTGAATCCAGCGACCCAGAGACCCGGGTCGCTGGGTCTTTGAATCCAGCGACCCAGAGACCCAGGGTCGCTGGGTCTTTGAATCCAGCGACCCAGAGACCCAGGGTCGCTGGGTCTTTGAATCCAGCGACCCAGAGACCCAGGGTCGCTGGGTCTTTGAATCCAGCGACCCAGAGACCCAGGGTCGCTGGGTCTTTGAATCCAGCGACCCAGAGACCCAGGTCGCTGGGTCTTTGAATCCAGCGACCCAGAGACCCAGGGTCGCTGGGTCTTTGAATCCAGCGACCCAGAGAGACCCAGGGTCGCTGGGTCTTTGAATCCAGCGACCCAGAGACCCAGGGTCGCTGGGGTCTTTGAATCCAGCGACCCAGAGAGACCCAGGGTCGCTGGGTCTTTGAATCCAGCGACCCAGAGACCCAGGGTCGCTGGTCTTTGAATCCAGCGACCCAGAGACCCAGGGTCGCTGGGTCGCTGGGTCTTTGAATCCAGCGACCCAGAGACCCAGGGTCGCTGGGTCTTTGAATCCAGCGACCC